CCCAAACCACTTGGCTTATCAAAGTGTACCGATAAATTATCCCAACGCAACACTAACCCCCTCCGGTGTCCGGTGATGCCGGCCCGTCTCCCAACAATTCCCACAATCCATCACCGGTGACGTCACGTTGGCGGGGTGTAGAGGTTGTTGAGGAAACACCAAGGAGGTTATTCTGTAATTTAAGGTCCTTGGGGAACACGTCTCTACTTTCTTATATTGTCGTTCTGGGCGTGTGTTTGTGGATGGTTGGCGGGTGCTCTGGTGTGGTTTGCTCCTTCTTCCCTGTCAAACAACTATCGTCTTTATATTTCCTCCTTCTTCTTTATGTTTGTTACTCTCTTGTAACACCTGTAATCTTCGGCACTTATTTGACCTTATTGTGTTGCAAGTGCCGTAAAACTCTTACTCAAACTAAAAACAGAAAGTTGTAGATTGTTGTTGTATCACATCGAACCTCGGACTGATGCTTTTTGTTTCGTTGAATTTTGTTGTGTGTGTGTGTGGGGGGGGGTTTGGGTCAGCATGTTAATTGGTCCCTTTTAAGGACAAGCTGGCTAACCCAGATTTTCGGCGTTTCTAGAATTCTTGACCTACACTAAAAGTGGGCATTTCCCTACCTATAGGAGAAATTTGGTTTCAATGGTATGTATATTTGTTTAGTTATTGAGAAAACTCTCCTTGTATTTTAAAGAAACCGAACAAGGGTCAAAAACTTTGCCTTTCATTTTCTCAAAACAACATTTTCCGGGATAGCCCCCTTGCGCTTAAAAGCGACCTATTATGGCATTTGCAACACAGTTAGATTAGAAGTACCAAAGATTAGATGTGTTACTAGAGAGTAACAAGCACAAAAAAGATGGAGAAGAGATATAAGGATGTCAGGCGTTTGATAGTAAAAGAGGAGCATACCACACCAGAGCAATTGCGCTCATATGACCTTATGCTGTTGCGAGCGCCGTAAAACCTCTACTAAAACTTTTTTTAAAACCCACACCAGAGCAGTCGCCAACCACCAGATGGTTGAATTTTGTTTTCTTCTTAACAATGTTACGAGAGTAACCTGAGACGCTGGTTGAGAAATGTTTATGAGCAAGACGTTTGTGATGTCATTAAGATCAATAAAATAAGTTCATATTTTTCATAGCTAGGCTAGGCTGCCTGTGCTTCACACACGCACGCACTTACACACACACTCACACACGCACACCCACACACACACACACACACACACAGACACACACACACACTCACACACTCACACACACACACACACACACACACACACACACACATAAACACACTTAATTACTCACACACACATGCACGTAGTAGGGAGAGGAGGAGGAGGAGGAG